CAGTCAATCGAGTATGGATAACCTTTGCAATTACATTTTTCTATTAAGAGAAATACAGCTTCGTTTAATAAGTTACTTCTTTCATGATTTTTTTTTTTTTTTTCAGTTCCCAATTTTCAATTTTTTGGGAAAAGTATGGGTTTCTTATTTTTCCAGTTTTCCTAGTTAATATATGGTTCTTGCTCTTTATTACTGTAGTTTTGTCAATAGCTACACATTCCCTTAGCATATGGATAAACTGAAAATCATTCAACCTGTGGTCTTAAATTCAAGCTGGTTTTAATGGTTTCATTCATCTCATGATTCCATAAAGATGATTGTAACACTATATTTATTGGTTAAAATATTATCTTGTCAAACTTATTTACTTTTTTGACTAACTTCATTACTGGTAATCTTCCAGAATCCTGGAACTGTTGCCCCTGCTACAAATTCCAGGCTTTCACCTCTTCCTCCTGAACCAGTCGGTTTTAATTATGGTCATGGTGCAACTGTTGACATACCACTCGATTCAAATTCTGGAGGATCAAAATCTAAGGTTTTTGAGATTTTTAGTGTGTACTATGTTCTTTATTCCACCATTGATCTCCTGGATCTCTTAATTGCACCAATTTTAAAAAAAAAAATTAGGATTTGAAGAAGAAAGAGAAGGAACTCCAAGCTAAAGAGGCTGAATTGAAAAGGCGGGAACAGGTACTTCTTGAAGAATGCCTAAAATCTTTGAATACGTTTTTGCAGTTGTTATTCTGGTGTTTAATTTCAAACTTGATTCTCATCTGGAAATAATCAGGATGATTTCCTTGTTTGATTTTGATTGATTGTTACAATTGTATTCTTGAGAGTAGAAGAAATGGACTTTGCAAATATTTAGAATTTATTATATAATTTAATCACAACAGACTAGCCAAGCGCTGGTGCTAGTTCAAATTATGCATGAGATTGAATTTCCAAATCACAAGATTAATCCCCTTTGTCATCCTTTCCTCCGCTACTTGAAATGAAATGAAATCTTTGTACTGGTTCTGATTCATCTAAGTTAAAATTTAATGTTTTAGATAACTTTATTTAATTCTTTAGCATTCTTGGTTAAATGCAGGAAGTAAAACGGAGGGAAGATGCTGCAAATCGAGGTAATTTATTCTGACTGTTGAAGTCCATATCAGGATGCTAAATTGCCAGTAGAACTCTCAGAATTTATTTCATAAATTTAGCGGCAATCTGTCATAATGAGATCATACCTTCAGTTTAGTCAAGTATAACTAAATCCATTTGTATTACGCATATGCATAAATCGAAACAATACTTAAAAAAAGAATTAAGTAATAACAAATTTGGGAAATTCATGCAATCTGAGGATTTGACACCATAACATGTGCAATCATATTCCACCGAGTGCACATTTCTCTTGTTGCCACTTTGAAAACTAGTTTTTGTGTTTCAACTGGAATTCAGATGATCCATAGGTTCCCCAGAAAATCATTCTACCACAATTAAATTGCTTGTCAATCACCCTATTTGTTGGATTTATTATATTATTTATTATTTATTTTTTTAAAGAAAAGTAACACTCTTGTTCTGAAAACCACCTAGAAGGTGAATTAGAGAGATACGTTCAACTTTTTGAAGAATGAAACCGCATTGGAGATCACATGTTCTTTCCAATTCAGCTTATGACCTGATCTGTTCTTGTTTTGCAGCTGGAATTGTTCTAGAGCAGAAAAATTGGCCACCTTTTTTCCCAATCATCCACCATGATATTGCAAATGATATTCCTATTCATCTGCAAAGATTGCAGTACGTTGCATTTACTACATTGTTAGGTATGCGAACTTGTGGTCTATCTTGATTTGTTCTTGTGTATAGGCTGTTATTATTGATATCATTCAATAATCCTAGTTTTAAACCCGTTGTATGGGCACTGTTGTTGAATCTTACCCTTTGACAATTTGATTGAAAAATTTAAGACAGTGTTTGGACAAGACTACTGTTTCCCCCCTGCAAAGTTGCCATTTCTTTCTTAGACGGGTAGTTATAACAAAATATTTTATTCGAGCTATTGACATAAAGGCTCCCCTGCAAAGTTGCCTTCATTTCTTTCTTAGATGGGTTATCACAGCAAATCTCTTATATAAGATATTGAAATAAAGTACATTGTCATGTTCTGGTGGCACAGGACTAACTCTTTGCCTCTTCTGGAACATCATAGCTGTTACTACAGCATGGATTAAGGGAGAAGGTAAGTTGATATACCAATTTTGCAAAAATGATTTATCTGTTGCAATTAATTGTCTTCTTGTGTGTGAATTTTTTATTGCTTATCATCTTTCCATTATATATGGTTGTAGGGGTAAAAATCTGGTTCCTTGCAGTCATCTATTTTATTGCTGGGGTCCCTGGAGGATATTTCTTGTGGTATCGCCCACTTTACAATGCATCTAGGTACCTTTTTTGAACTTTAAACTTGTCTGTACGCTCCTCTTTCTACCCTTTCCTATTTGAATGTTTTTTTTTTTTTTTTTTTTTTTTTTTTTTTTTTTTTTTTTTTTTTTTTTTTTTTTTTGGGTTTGCATTGTACAAATAGATTGTTGTTGTTTGAGTTTAAGTTTAGGATTGATTACTTAAAGAATTGATACGATCAAATACTGAAAGTTGATATTATTTTCTTATAGAAACAAAATGATATGCTTGTAGACTTTAGAAAACAATGGTGTGTAGTAGATTTTTAATGAGTGTTATATCCCTTTCATGTGGTTGATAAGTCCTCCCCTCACTTCTGAAGGTGGAACCCTATATCGTACTCACAACTATTGATCTGACCATGAAGATATTAATTAACAGTCTTTTATCTCTAATGTTGCAGGAGTGAAAGTGCTATGAAGTTTGGATGGTTCTTTATGTTTTATTTGGTAATACTATTTTTCGATGCTCAGTAACTTTAGCTTTCTTCCCGAATAGTAAACACTTGTTTGAAAATTGGACATTTATCATTACAAATTTAGTGATGAATTTTTTTCCTACAGCTTCATATTGGTTTCTGCATATTTGCTGCGGTAGCACCTCCAATAGTCTTCAAGGGAAAATCTCTGAGGTATGATCCTTTGTATTCGGTATTTATCATGTTTGGTTAATTTGTGTTCTCAGTATGGTTTGGTTTATGATGCTTTAAAATGTTCAAATCAGTGACTTAGTGCATATATGAGGAAAGTTAATTTCTATCTCCATTTCAGCTATATTTTTTCAATTGATCTTGATCTTTTTTTTACTTCTAATGGCTTCTAGAGTCATAGGTTGCACTTTAATTTGGCTAGTGTGTTTGGACACTCCAACACTTGTTGGACACTGTTTACGCAATCGATATGTTAGACACTAGGGTACAAAATCAATATGGATCTAACATTTGTTAGACCCATATAAAACACTTATTAATTATGCCAAGTATACACGTAATAATGACTTCTGTGAGCGAAATACGTCAAACTCATTTTTTGGCATATAAATGCATAAACTTTATGAATTTTGAAATTTCTTGTCTGAAAATTACATACACACACACACACTATATATATTAATAAACCTGTCTTTATTACGTCTGTCTTAAATTTCTTAAAAATGTGTCTATGGCATGTCATATCCATGTTTCATATGTGTATCCGTGCTCAATAGTATACTTTATTAGATTAATAGAAGTTCCATATTCTTTTCCTCGTACTAATGATTTTTTTTTTTTTGGTGTGGTAACAGTGGCATTTTACCTGCAATAGATCTTATTGGCGGACAAGTCTTGGTCGGAGTAAGGATATTTTCTTTTATTTATGAGCACATGACTTGGGGAAGATTCTCTTTTGATCTACTAAAAAAAAATATCTGCCTACTTCCTTTTCAGTCAGTTATTTCATTTTTTATTTTTTTAACCTATATCAGTAAACCTCGGATGACCCACTAAATTGGGGAGATGCATGGAGACATGTTATGATTTATTTGGTCTAAGAAGATTTTTTTACTGATATGAAAATAATTTAAATGGAGCAGGTTTTGTTAAGTGTGGTTAGAATTTCCCTTATGAATTGTGGATGCTCACTTTCCTATGATTTATCCTATGAAAGTAGTAATAATACGTAGCCTCTAATTTACGTATCCTGGAGGTTTCATACTCTATTTTCCTGTTTGTTGCAGATATTCTATTTTATTGGATTTGGATTATTCTGTCTTGAATCAGTTCTCAGCATCTGGGTTATTCAGGTCAATTATGCCTCTCCCCTTTTTTTATATCCGTACGCTTACAGATGTAAAACAACAGAATTGCTGATTCATTCTATGCATTGGCCGCTTTCTCTTTTGTCATTCAGCAAGTATACATGTACTTCCGAGGCAGCGGTAAAGCAGCTCAGATGAGGCGCGAGGCTGCCAGGGGCGCTGTGAGGGCAGCCATGTGATGCAGTGACCACGTATAACCACACCGATGGGCTTCGTCCCAGAATATAGGTTGTATATGCACTTAGCCACTGGCTGTGGATAAGTTTACTGCTTTAGGTTGACGGGCTGCTCAGTCTCGTTGTTTCATTTTTACCACCCAACTTCAGTGTATGTTTTTTTTCGCCCGTGATGTAATTTGACCCCAGAGGTTGTAGTGTCACTTTTATAGACCATATTGTTAGAATGTTGAGGTTTATTGAATTCTGAGTTCATTTTTACAAGTTGTTTGGGAAAATTGGTTGTCATGTTCAAGTTCTTTACCGAAATGTTGATGAAATGATGATAGTTGAATGGAAGGAGCAAAAGATGGAATGGGTTGGACGTGTTCTTGGAGAATTCATCATGAACAGCCTGCTTTTCTCCGATGCTTCTATATTTATATTCATTCACCTCCCATCATTACCAGATGCAATCGTTGTTTCTTGCATTTGTTCTTGTTCTTTCACCATTTACTCATTCAAGTACAAAAACTTTCCATTAGAACCTTCCATATATATATCACAAGAAAGTTAAACATTCCACAAGAGTTCAAGAAAAACCATAATAATTATGATAATATTTATAATACTATATGATTTCAGTCTGGTAAAACTGCATTACATAGCCTTTTTTCTTCCCATTAAAACAAGCTTACTAGTTATAGATATTTTTTCCGGCTACCCAGCGGCCGTGTCAAAGAAAAACACTCAGAGCCCTCTCTAACAATAGCCGATACATTTCTTAGTGCAGTCGATGGTGCAGCCACCGCCTCCGCCTCCGCCGCCGAAGCCCTTCCCCGATCGGCTGTAGGAGGAGAAACACTTAGCCGGACAAGTCACCTTCTTATTGTAACAAGGACCTTTCTCTTTACACACGACAGTGTTCCTTATGATGCCGCCCTTCCCGTAGCCACCTTTGGGGCCGCCGTAGCCACCGCCATATCCTCCACCGATGATGCCCTTATCCCAGCCCTTTCCAAAGCCGGGTATGTCGTCAAATCCGTTACCAGGTTCGAACATCCCATCGAAGCCGCCGCCGCTGTTCCGAGCGGTGGCGAAAGAGAAGGCCGGCGAGAGAAGGAAGACGACGAGAAGAGTGGAGATAGCCATGTGGCGATTCATTTGGACGCGTTTTTGAGGATTACAAGTTGTTTGGGAGAGGAAAGTGAGGATTGGGGAAAGTAGAAATACGGAAATGGAAGTGGGTAAGGAGAAAGTGGGGGGCAGGAAATGCATTTATTGAAGATGGTATTGGCGGGGCAGTTGGCTCCTCATTAATGGGTATCTCTCTGTCTCTCTCCTTTCAAATTTTTTATTTTTTATTTTTAAATTATTTTTTAGGTAACTAAATTTGTAAAATTTAGAAACGACACCGAATTGGATACTATTGTTAATTCGGGATTTTATATTCAACCCAAGGCATGGCGGTGAATCTCTATCTCCTAATTTCCTTTTAAGCTTATCCACTCGTCCGGTCCTATTAGCTAACATCTCTTCTACTTCTTCCTCAACCGTGTTCTTTATTATGATACAATACATTACATGAATGTTTGGGCGGTAACAAATGGTATTAGAGCCAAACACCGGACGGTGTACTAGCAAAGACACTAGCTCCCAAGGAGGGTAGATTGTGAGATCCGACATTAGTTGGAAAGGGAAATAAATCATTCCTTATAAAAGTGTGGAAACTTATACCTACTAGACGCGTTTTAAAACTTTGAATGGAAGATAAAAATATTTGCTAGCGGTAGTAAGTGGTAGACACATTAAAATTTTGAACGAAAAATCTAACAATATTTGCTAACCACAGTAGGTGGTAGACACTTATTAAAACTTTGAAAGGAAAGTTCAAATACAACATCGGCTGGCGGTGGTGAGCTTGAGCTATTACATAAGTAATTGTCACCTATTTGGAACTTCATTGGATGTCGGGTCTAATCGACCAACTTTTTTCATACATTTTGATTTATTCTCTAAATATGAACTACCTACGCCACAAACATTTGTTTCCACTATTTGATAAAGTTGTAAGCTTAAAAGTCTTTGCCTCCTACACACAATCTCGAAAGAAGTCTTTCTTGTCAAGGAACTTTTTTGACAAATGAAGCTGGGTTTGATAACATATTGAACCAATTCTTTTTTTGCCTCATACTTACTAGATATCTTAGATATATATATTAAAGATTATAATTTAATCGATATAATTTTAAAGGTTATAATTAATTTTTATAGTTGGATAAAACTCTTTTAAATATTTCCAAATAATAGAAATTATATTCATAATTTAACATTTAAGGACTACCATAATTATTTCATCTAGATTGGCTCAGCCAAAAAGAGTTGAATTCTACTTAAGTAGATATAATGGCCTTTATTGACGTTTCTTTTTATTAACATCTCATTATAATTTTGATTTTAATGTTTCTTTTAAAATAACAGAAACATTTTTTTTTTTTTTTTAATTTGGGTTTGTTTTTAAAACAAATATATTATAATATTCACATTTATTAATTTGTTAATTGAAAATTTAGTAGAAAAAATCAGAAGTTATTATTTAGTAGGTGAATATGTAAAAGTCAACCAGACAATAAATTTATGATGCCATACAGACATGAAAATGTGAAAATAAATATTTAATTATATGATAAATTAGTCTCCTTAAGCAATTCAACCAACAAACACGTTGTCGGGAAGAAATCCGATTGATTTCAGGGCTAAACATATATATATATATATATATATATATATATGTGACCTGCACGTGACCTGCAATACGTGACCTGCACGTGCTTTTGTCCTTATTTTTAATTAATAGACGGTATTATTTAATAATTATTTGATTATTTAAAAATAATGATAATAGCGTTGAGTGGGCTTTGAAGTTGAAGGCCCAAAACAGGTCCGTATGTTTCATTTTTGGGGTTTGTTTTATAACGTGAAATGGAATCTTTCTTAAAGAGTGGCAGTCTTGCAGAGTGTGGTGGTGGGACAAGGCAGCGCTGCGCCGCGCTGTCATGGCGGATAGCCCACCCTCTCTGTCTCACTCCGCCATGTGAACCCTTTATTTTTATAATCCCTCTCTTACCCCTTGCTTTATTCTGTCCCCTTCTCTCCTCTCTATATAAATTTCCACTTTCCATCGCCTCTTCATTCAAATTCCAGTTGTAACCTTCACTCCCGCCGCCGAATTTTTCCTCAGTCATAGATGGGCGGTTCCAGAAGCGACGACATCAGCGGCGCCACCTACTCTCCCCGGAGTTCTGGCCGTCCGATTCCCAAGAGGGGACAGGTCAAATTGGGGATTATGGTGGGTCTCGCTCATTCCGTTGTTTCAATTTTCTCGCCAACCACTCGCCGGAGTTAGATTCCACGGCGGCAAGCGATGGGTGTCGGAGAGAGGGCATGGAGAGCTGTTTTTGGTTCCGGTTGTAAATTTTTGGCTAATATTTTATTTATGACATCTCAAAACAATACATTGAACCCAACATGTCTCTTTCAAATTTGCAGCCTGAGATTATTCATTTCAATTCTTTTCTTTAAAACGTATCATTATTATGATTTATAAATATGAAACAGGGAGACAACCAAATGAATCTATTGATAAAAAGCGCTCAGGAGTGGGTCAGCCTCAAGTTTTAGATGCCCTATTGGCATTTTCCCTTTCCTAGTGGAAGCCATGCAAAGCACGTTTCTTCATAATAAATATATTTTTTAAAAATAAAATTAAAAAAAGTGAGATACTGAATTCAAGCTGACGTCATCTATGGACTAAGCCACGACGTCAGCTCTTCTTCTAAAGTGAAAAGGTCAAATTTGTAATTAGCCAGAGAGGAGTGGGATCAAAACTCAAAAACCCTTTCATTAAAAAGCAACAAGAGGCACTAGTTAGGCAGGGTTAAAATGGTCAACTTACACCCCATTACCGTCATCTAGCCTTCTGGTTCTTGCCCATTTTTTCTTATATATATATATCTTTGAAGTCGGGACAGATTCGAAGCAATAGAGGCACCGTCTTCAAAAAACAAATATCGCTTACTCTCTTTCTCTCTCTAAATCAAGAACTTTCAGTTGCAGAGATGGCCGGTACCAGGATCAACGCGATCAACGGTGGACACTTGTCGAGTAAATATTCTGACCGTTTGATTCCGAAACGGGGTCAGGTCAAAATGGCTATCTTAGCGGGTATTGCTCACTCCGTCTCTTCGATCTTCTCTCACGGCGGTCGGAAATAACTCCAGTGGCCGGGAATCGAACCAGTTAATCGGAAGCGTTGAATTGTTTTTTAAAATCGATGGCTCTGATTAGACGCTAAGATCTTCCGAATTGCTAATAGAAAGATGAGGAAGAAACTGAGTTGTCCTTCCATGGCGTCGATGAATTTAGAGTTTGTGATTTTAAAATTTTTTATTTAGGAAAGTTGTTTGTAAATTACCAAATTGCTTAATTTAGGGTGAAGTAATAATATTTTTTGTTGTTGATTTTTGTACTCATTTGTGTTATTTAATTTAAACTCTTAATGCTCGACAATTCAACTAAAATTACCAAATTACCGTGTTCATTCGGAGTTATGAACTCAAAGCTTAATATTCCTATGAAAGCCAATAATTACAACAATTATAAAGTAAAAAATCATTTTTCAAGAGAAAATTGTTAATATAAACTTTATTTTTAATTTTTTTTATAAAATTTTATACTAACTGAGATAAAGTTGGTAAAAAAATCCCCCCCCAAAAAAAAAAAAAAACATATATATATATATATATTAAAAAAGCAGGCGGCTGGCATTGCCGGAAGAGATGCCACCTGGACCAGATGAAGCGTATAAAAAGCCACCGTGGCTCAGTGTGGTGTGAGTCTGGAGCAGCACCAACTGCCCGGATTCTTTTTTTTTTATTAATTTAATTTTATTGCTCGGTAGTGGGAAGCAACATGATGTGGCAAATTTGAACACGTTTTTCATTTTTTATTTTCGTCAATAGATTCAAAAACAGAAACCCCATAAAACTGTATTACTTCCATTATGGTCTTGCCTTTATCTTGTCCCCTCGGTGGAATCCCATATTTGTCCCGAAAACCCCAAAACACCCTTGGTCTTTAGAAAATTTCTCCCCACGCGAGGAGAAAGTGGTAATTTCACAAAAATATAAAAATGAAAAAGCCAGCTGCCCGAGATTCTCAACTTTGAATTGGCTGCCTATATAAATCCACCTCAACGAAGCCTTAAGAGAGCATCCAAAACTTAAAGCAAACAAGTTTGTATTACTTCTTCAAAAGCCACGACGATGAACAACATCGACGGTGAGAGAATATGCAGGAGGATTGGTGGCCGTCCGATCCCAAAGCGAGGCCAAGTGAAGATGGGAATCATGGTGGGGATTGCCCACACAGTCACCTCCATCTTCTCTCACGGTCACGGTCACGGTCACGGTCACAGTAGCAGCCACAAACGTTTCTCCCAACACTAAACAAGAACAGTGGACATAATAGGACAAACATTTGTCTGTGATTTTCAAGTATCTTCCATTGGGAGGAGCAGCAGAAGCCCACCAGCTGATGGAGAGTAGCAAGCATAGAGGAAAGACACTGCTGCTGATTCCATAAAAAACACCCAGTTTAAAACATGATTGCTCATTAACTTGGTTTGACTTTGTTTCTTATTTTTTCATTACTTGTATGTCTTTTGGTGTCTGGTCAACCATTAATGAGATCTGTGCTTGGCTTAATATGTATAAACATTAATTAATAAGATCATGGAATTGAAGCGTTCTAATTAGATGTATTCTTTTTAAACCATGCTTCAAACAGCCCTCACTTCTGGATGAAAATGATACTGATAAATTATTCATAATTAACATAGAACATCAACAAGTCGTTGTAGTATAGTGGTAAGTATTCCCGCCTGTCACGCGGGTGACCCGGGTTCGATCCCCGGCAACGGCGGCGTGATTTTATTTTTAATTTCCATTTTCATTTTTAGAAAGCTTTGGGGAACTGAACTCAGAACTGCCGCTTTCGTCCTCTGAGGCTTCTCCTTCTCGGCCTCTCTCTCTCTCTCTCTCTCTCTCTCTTCACCAATATTACTTCAGCTTCTGAAGGCTTTTCGATTTCAGATAAAGCTATGGAAGCCGACGAGGCCGACCGTGTCTTTCCATTTCAGCTCCAATTCGACAAGCATATTGCCTCTCAGGTTTATTTTTCTCTCTTCAACATCCGCCTCCTTAGTTGCGCGTTCATTTCTTTATTTTTTGGGGAACGATGCTTCTAGTATTTGTTTGTGGTGATCCATGAGTGAGTTGTTTTCGTTGAACTAAAAAAACAGAAAGTTGTTTTCTGCTCTGAATATTTCATGATTTGCTAATGGAAGGTTAAAATTGCCGAGTGGAAACCGGAAAGGATTTGCTAGCCATGGTCACAGAAGACTTGCGAGTTTTGCTCCACCGTGGCGGAGGTTGCGGACTATATCACCTGGTGAGTTGTATGTCTCCTTGATTTCCTCAGCTTAATTTTTTGATTTCCTAAACTTTTTGAAAGAAAGTTAATCTAACCTGCTTTCTTCCAGTTTTCAGTTTCTCGCTGCTTTATCATAGTTGTTTGGCCTGATGAACTGCATCTAATATATGTTGAAGCTAGGCTAAATAGATTAATATAAGGTTGTTAATCGTTAATTGTTGAAATTGAATCCTAACGAAGGGCAGTATTTCCTCATTCCAAAGGCCATCTTTTAAGTTATTTAATGATAATTTAGGATTCTTGAACTATTGGTGTTTATGAACAATTTTGTTTCACCAAAACGTAATACATACAACAGGAGAACAATATTGATTCTTCCTCTTTAGGACGTTGTATTTTGCACTCAGTTATTGTGTTTTGATGTTCTATGTTGTTGTGCACTGACAGCCATGGCTATGAGTGGTTGCATAAAGTCTATGTAGGAAGGTCTATAAAATCAAACTATGGGACAATTCCGTTGCATGATGTTGAAGTATGTATCCTTCAACTTTAAAACATAGTTTTCCTATTTATCAGTTGATCGTGGAATTCTTGCACTCGATTCTGGTGATCCACACACCTGTTTGTGCAGTTGTACTGACCTTGATTAGATCCAAACTTCCTATGTGCCTAAGATAGATTTTTCTTTCCCTTCAACAAAGTAATGGAGATTTTATTTTAATTCCATCATCCACATCTTTCTCTAAGGCTTATTTGATATAATAAAGAGTGTTACATGGCTTGTTTGATACTACTTTTCTGTAATTATTTCCATATAACATTTATAAAAGAAGTTAAACAAGAGTTAATTTGGAAAAGCTTTAGAAAGAACAAGAACTACTTTAATAAAAAAAAAATATATGGAAAAAGGAAAAGCCCTGGTAATAATTCTGTCACAAGGAAGAACACAATAAAAATTGGTGAAAGTTTGTTATGGAACCCAAAGTTGGTATTTAAGAATTTAACAATGATAAGAGCAGGAAATAAAAAACACACAGCAACGACTAAATTTGAATTCAAAAAAACTATATATTAAAAAGGCAAGTAAGAATTTTTGCATAAAGTGCTAAGTTGCCTTGAGCTGTCGCTGTTATAACTCCTCTCCTGTTCATAAACTTTATTCTCTCTAAACCTCCCCCCACCAGTCCCAAGGATGAAAAACTATGTGCATCCAAGTTTTATTCTCTTAGTTAGCTCTCTCTAATCTCCAGTGAGTTTCCCTGAAACGTTGTGCATTTATTTAATGATTGCTGATTGTAGAAGTATGCGTAATATCTCCCCCATTCATTCTCGTGGGACCACTGCTACTAAACTCCAATTTTTTCTGTCGTATCATGACTACAAAGAAACGAAAGAGTACTATCATGGAAATATCATGGAAATTTTATTGACACAAGTCAAAAGTTTAGTAAACGAAGATGAAATTGTCTTAGAATTTGTGTCTTTTTACACGTTCTTCTATACAAAGGATGATACCATCTTCAAATTCCCCCATGATCCTGATTAGAGTTCTATTGATCAACTCCCTCTAGCTTGCTTTCATCGAAAAAGAGGGGGAAGGCGATACAGCTCCTAGGCTCCGACAAAACTCAAGAACCGGATGGTTTTACCTCAGATTTTCAATGTTGGAACATTCCGAGAGACAATATCATGATAGTGTTCCTAGATTTATTTACTTTTTTTTTATAATTTTTTTTTATAAATGGAGTTATCAATGGAAGCCTAAGGGAACGTACATATGTTTGATCTAAAAAAAAAATACTTACACTACTGCAGACTTCCACCCATAAGTCTTACGGCTGGATTATACAAAATCATAGCAAGGGTGCTATCAAAATGTCTTCAAACAGCCTTTTGTAGAGGGATGGCGGATCCTTGATGCATCCCTCGTGGCAATAAACTCATAGACGAATGGGAAAGAAAGAAACAAAAAGGTGTAGTCGTCAAACTTGACTTGGAAAAGGCCATCAACAAAATCAATTGGACTTTCCTTGAAAACATTGGACTTCCCTTGAAAACATTCTGGTAGCAAAAGACTTTGACTCAAAATGGCGGATGTGGATAAAAGGATGCATCTCATCCACAAATTTCTCCACCACCGTCAACGGAAGACCGGGAAGGAAGATGTATGCCTCATGGAGTCTTCAACAAGGGGATCAACCATCCCCTTTTTTTTTCATAATAGTAATGGATTGTCTCGGTTGCCCACTCACTAAAGTCAAATATGAAGGACAAATAATGGGCTTATAGATTGGCAACAAAGGGTTAAGCATCAACCACCTGCAGTTCACGGATGATGCAATCCTCTTTTTTAATATGTCAAATGTCTCTTTCATAAAAAACATGATCAAGACGGTAAAAACCTTCGAAAGATTCTCTAGACAAAATATCGATCTTAAAGAAATAGAGATTATAGGTATCAACATTAACACAAAGATTATTGAAGAATTTGCCAGCAAATACAGTTGTAAAAAGAGTGAATGGTCAAATATGTAACCTAGGATTACCTTTGGAGGGAAACCACAAATCGTTTTTCCATGGAAGATCATACTTCTAAATAGGGAAGACTCATCCTAATACAAGCTACACTATCCAACCTCCCCACCTACTACATGTCTCTAATCGAAATGCCGCAAAAAGTGGCTAAGGATATAGAAAGATTGTTCTAAAACTATTTGTGGAAAGATAATCCACACCTTGTTCGATGGAATATCATAAATCTCACGTAGAAAAAGGCGGACTTGGTCTATTTTTGTTGAAGAAGAAGAAAAAAGCTCTCCTCACAAAATGGATATGGAGATATCATCACGAAGAAATGTCTTGGGGAGAAGACTTATAAAAACTAAATATACAACTACATCATGTAAAAAAATCGATCCCCTCCATCTTCTGCAAAGGGACCATGGAAGGACATAAAGAAACATCAAAACCTCATTACTAACCGAATTCACCGTAGGGTGGGTGATGGAGGAAACACATCATTCTGGACTAACCCATAGATTAAAAACATCACGCCAGCCATGCGTTATTCACTTTTGTATAGTCACTCTCATAACAAAAGAACCACCATCAAAGAAACGTGGAAGGTTGTAAACAAATTTTGGGACCTGAAACTTGGTAGGAACGTAAAAGAAAACGAAGATATAGAATGGGCTAAAGTAAGCCTCAACCTTGCCCGAGTTGTATCATCAAAAGAAGCAAATTCATTGACATGGCTTCCCAGCACAGACAAGATCTTCTCTACAAATTTTTTGATGATGGACATAGGAAAAAAAAAGTAGAAGCCATAAATATCACGCTAGCAAAGATAATATGGAAAGGAAATCACCCTAAAAGGATGAAGTTCTTCTTTGGGAAATAGCGCATAAAAATTTTTGGACAAAATTCTCAATATCTTCATATGACATCTCACATTTCCTAGGACGGTAAATGATCTATTGGACATGACTTTAACGTACCATCCCTTCAAGAATGTCAAAGCTCTTTCTTTTGGACTTTGGGAAAGAAAGAAATCAAATAATATTCGCGAAAAAAAACACGGACTTATACAAAGCTCTTCGACAATATTATTTACCAAGTTATATCTTAGTGTAAACTATCTAATATTTTTACTTTCTATAGTTATACCTCTCCTTGTAATTTTGAAGATGTTTGGTAAACATCATAGAATATTACATCTTTTGAAAATCCCTTGGCAACTTGATCTTCTACCATTTTCCGCAGGGAAGTTGTTGACAGAGTCAGAGATTTGGTTGGGATTCTCAGATTCACTTGGTATGGAGTTTCAGCAGATGGACTCTAGGCATTCCCTCTCTTCCATTCAATTGGTCTGTGAGTAGTCTTGCATACTTGACCATTCATAATATGACAAGTTGGAACAACAAAATAACTGCGAGTAGTGGATTATGATCTGGATGGATCCGTTTATGATTTCTTAGAATGTGATGAAACCCATTTTCAAAATTGAAGCATTGTGAACTGATAGATTTAAGGGGTTTATTTTCCGTTGGCTGGAATATATCTTTGATCATTAAACTCTATCAACCACCTTTTCTTTTGGTTCTTACAACTAAAGTTGTTCCACTATAATTTTTATTTTGTGATACATTTGCATTAGCCCTCACCTTCAATAATAGCACTGCTATATTTTAACAAACAAGCTTATGGGAAGATGTGTGGTCCAATCTGCTTGTTTCTCTTACTTTTGGCATACCAGGGCCCCAGCAGGAAGGAAAGGAATTCTAAGCATCCTCTTTCTCCTTCTTGGTATGTCCGCTGCAAGAGAATGGGGGAAAATATTTATTATATTCTTCCCTGTTTCTAGCAAGTTTTAATCCAAGATTTTCTGTGCCCTTTGTTGTTTTAAGCAAGGTATATGGATGTAGAACCTGCAAATGAACGAGAAAATATTGCATCCTCTTGGTGCGAGTGTGACAATAGACTATGCCAACAGGCATGTATATGTAGTAAAGAGATATCTTTCTTAGACAACCCGATTTCTGTCCAATAATAGATTGTGGCGGCACGAATTTGCAATTAAATGACACGTTTAGAAGAAATGAAAATTGTGAATATATAGTTTGATGTGCTATCTACTCGCAATAAGCTTGAGATTAATTTTTCACATCGATATTTATGTAAAAGCTAGTTAGAGATCGCGTAAGTCAAGAATTTGCATTTTCTTTTTTGAAATTATCCATTTACTCATATGTACATCTTATTATATTAAATTGATAACCAACCGATAAGATTACTTCCACAGTTTCAAAGAAGCTTTTCTTATGCCCTTAAGTACAATCTCAAGGACAATACTTTGTGAAGATCTGTTGTCCCTATTCCCCTTTTAATCTTCGTGGCAAGCTGCTCTCGTCTTCCAGTGTTCTTCTTTCAGTGTCGTACTATGAGGTATTTATTCTGTATTCAGCCTACACTTCGTCTCTTGTTTGAGATTCATTTGTCATTCTCATGACGATTAGATTGTCGTACGGTTGTCCGGACTGTTAATTGTGAAATATTTATCTGTTTTTCGTTACCATGACCTGCTGCGGTTTCCAAAGGCGTGATGTCCACCAATGTATACTGTTGAAGAAAGTGTGGTTTTTATTTTATTCTATTTGCTTTTAAACCCCCATGTAGGAATCCTCTGAAGCTGTCTCCGCGGATCAAAGTTGTCAGCGGAAGTTCACGGATTTATATCTTTCAAAGTCCCAGATGATTCTTTTGTAGAAATTGCAAATTGTGTAGGCATATCCAGGGGATCTTTTTCATGATCAGAGCTGCTCAAACGGAGATTACTCTTCAATTGAAGCAGCCTTGGTATCTATTCCCGATGATTCTCATTTGTTGTGCCGTAATGCCACAACCTTTAATGCTCTAATATCAATTGTTGTAGCGGAAACAGAAGCAGAAGCAAGATTGATTGCACTCATACACCTACAAATAGAAATTAAACAAAGAGACACAAACACAAAGACAACTTACAACACTGTCTTTGTACAAGGTCCAGCAATTTTTTTTTTCTCTGCATACTCATTGTGGAAATGGAAAGTAAAAGATTGACAGAAATCCTGTGATTAATTAGTGGACCTATATGGTTGTGAACAGAATGGACAGATTGTTTTGTTATGAAATGAAATTGCTTCTACTTCTGAAAGCTCTTTTGGTTCCTGTATGATGGTTGTGCAAGCAGATGACCTTACGTTTGTTTCTATGCCAAGATCTCCGTCTGGACAGTTGGAAGGCTCATCAACTCAAGGATTTCTCTTGCTCATATCTCATTGATAAGATAAAATGATCTAATGAGAGAATTTTTCGATTCTGAGATGAGTTGCAATCTAATGTTTGTCTTCTTGGAATAATGAGAGAATCATTTCAGCTTCTCGTAAAACAGAAAATTGCACTTTCAGTTTGCAAAATGGCCAACCTTTTACAAAGTAATACAAAACCCTCAAATTACCTACAGGCCACAAGATCACACCCTATTCTCAAGAAATAACATACAAGTCATTACATTGCAGATTTAGAAAAGAGTGAGCAAAAAGCTTTTAGTATAATTACCTATTTCTTTTTCCTTCCTTTCTTTTTGTCTGTTTTACTACGGGACTTTGACCTTGACTTCTTTCTTGCAACTTTCTTGAATGGCTTCTTTTTGGTAATTGGCAGGCTGTGCTTCTTATCCTTTGCAAGAAGTTGGGATGTTGATGCCTGTGGCTTGTCAATGGGATCGATTTCTTCCTCACGACGTACCTCACTTGTTGTCACAGTGACTTTGATGTTTCCACTGTCATACGTTGTTGTCTCTACAGAGAGGACCAGAAGCACGTTTGGATCAAATAAAACGACATGTATCTCTATAACATAGATGACACTTCCACTGTTTGATTATTGGAAGCCTCTTCCAAGATTCAGAGTTTCTCAATGAATGCATATCATTATCAATGTTATCAACTTCCAAGTTATTTTTCATATATAACCCGACTTTTAGCTTCCCCGTGAAAAGAATACTATCTGATCTGATTTTTTAAGATCGACACTTCTTCGGCCCCTTGTATTAGGGAAGAACTTGTAACTATTATCTGTCATTTTGATTAATTGAACACAACTGTGTTCTAAGCAAACTGGTGCAAATGGATTATCACATGCTTTTGATAGCTTAATGTGCAATTGCTAGAAAAATACCAGAAATTGGTGCCAATGGCTTCTCTTCCTCATCCTCATCCCCGTCCTTGAGATCATCGTTCTGCTCATCAACTGGCCGGTCAGCTGGTAGAACACCACCATGTAGCACCAGATCTTTTTCTATTTTTCTCTGCAAGATACTTTATGACTTTCAGAAAATGTAACCAGATGATATAGAAGAAAAGGACATATGCACCAAAGGCTGTTCTCTTTCATGTTTCCTCTGTCAATAATATTTTACACAACTTATGCAATAAAAATATTCATAAAATACGATGCATAAATGACGACTAATTAGTAGCATTTTAGTTGAACAATCATTATAGGGAGGTTCACAATTAAAATCAACAAAAAAAAAGCTAGAGGCAATTTCTCACAACTGACTTAAATCACCTTTCTCACAACTGACCTAAATCACCTTCCTAACCCTCCCTTACCACCAGCTGTATTAGTTGCGGCAGTAGAATGGTCAAAATCTTAAAGCTATTGAAATTTTTGTCGGAGGGAATGATCTGATAGTTCTACTTCTTAAGAAAAACTGTACATCCTTGCGCGCAAGCTTAATAGAAGAAACATGCAGGGAGTGTAGGGTTTTTAAAAAAAATTAAAGTGAAACCATGCCACATAACCTTCACGATGCTATCTTGTAGAGTTATTCGGCTCACGAGTTTTCTTTACTCTTAACCTTGATCATCAAGGTAATTCGTTCCAGAACTTTCCCTTGGATTGATGCCTTATCGTTTTTAGAGTTTCGTGGATAATTTAGATCTAAAGGTCTTGTTTTTCAACATGGTTATTAGATCAAATCCCAATCACAAGATTTTCATAGCAGGTGTAGACTTGTCTTGTTTCCATTCTTTGAGGGATATGGCTTGAGAGGAATGGTAGACATTTTAGAGGTGTTAGAGAGATTTGAGAGAGTTATGGGAGGCTACTCTTATTAGGTTCAACGCTTCAAGACTCGGTGGCTAATGTTTTTTTTTTTCTTGTAATTATTAGCTAGGTCCCATTTTTTTTTGTATTAGAACTCTTTCTTGTAGTATTGAAAGCCTTTATACATTCTTTTATTGTTCTACAAGAAAGTTCAAATTATTATTTATAAAAAATGCATTAACATGCCTTCTAACTTTTCTATCCTGATGAATGTACAACTAAGTTCAAAAATCATTACCCGTAGCTCAGTGAAGGAGAGAGAAATGCAAGTCTCCTAAATACCCATTGTGACCTATTAAACTAAGGATTGAATAAATTCATATAAGCTTGAACAAATCCAAGGTGGAAAAACAACATTGGGATCTTTAGCTCACAACCAGCCTCATCTCCAGAGTCCGAAGGAAATATTTAACCTTTCGTGAGACTAACGGTGTGTTGTGTTTGGTTCTCTTTCTAGCCACTGAGAATCCCAATGGTTTTGCAGTTCTGTTGGGAAATCAACAATGTACCAGAAAAGATTTCTTCATGCGCTATCCTAAGTTCATTGAGCTAGAAAAGTAGTATTGTTCACAGGAAATTTTCAATTCCTGAACTATCATTGTAGCTATTTCTTTCCCTGTAAACTCTAAAATGTCATCATCCTACGGACAAAATAGTTATCTGTTTACAGCAGTTCCCTTTCAGAAATAGAAACGTATGTCAAACCTTTTTGCGTTCTTCGATGCGCTTCCGCCGCTTAGCTTCCTCTTGTTGCTTTTCCGCTTCCTTTCTCCTTTTCTTCTTCCTCTTGTGAAATCCAGTAACATAGTCCCTAAGAAAAATTCAAAAAAAAAAAAAAAAAAAAAAAAAAAAAAAAAAAAAAAAAAAAAAAAAAACCAACCAACAAGAAAACAGAGAGAAATCGATATCATATAAAATTCCCAATTAATCAAGTTCGTGCTGAGTTTGAAGGAAAACCTCAAGTCTTTCTCATTGAAAGAAACAGAAAGAGCTTTGTTCTTTAGAGCTTTCTTCTTTACGTGTCGAGAGTAAGGCTGTGTGAGCGCCCCCCCTTCCGCCGCTTCGTTCTTCACCATCGCAGCGCCCTGTAACACACTCTGCGTCACATTAAATTCGGTTAGCGCGGCGGCGGACACCTAATACCAAGCGCGGCGGCTAATTGGGTGGGCTTCATATCTCAAAAGGATATTGAAATTAATTATGCCCGGCCCAAACTCCAAATTAAATTACACAAATTCCATCTAACCTCATTTTTTAGGGTTTTTTTTTTAAGATAATTTTTAAGGAAAGTTAATTGACCGCTAGAATTGTTAGTGATAAACTAAGAGAGAATTTATTAAAAGGACGAAATTTGGAGGAAAAAGAAACTTTCTTCAATTTGCACTAATAAACCCATTTAATAATTTTCTGTAATTTGTATATGTATATCTAATAAATCTAACTTTTTTTAATTTATATTTGAAAGATTTCAAATTTTCAATAACAATTCTATTAATTTAGAAAATATATATCAACCTGCTAAGTATAAAATTGAAAGTTTAAAAACATAAAACATTTAAACATTTTAATTCTAGATTTAACGGATTTATCCAATACAAATTTCTGGAAGAAAAAAAACAAAGACTTAGCATTCCCAAAATTTATAGGAGAAATTGCTGTCTCTAACGATTTACATAAAAGAAAACAGAAAAAGAAAAAAAAAACAGAACGATAAGAGAAGAAACACATTGGGGATCATCAACGTATAGAATCAGAGCCAAACTTGGAAACCAGTCTCCATATTTCACTGTACTGAATCAAATTCAGCTGTTAATAATTCTGCATGAAGTATTCATTCTATGTTTCCTAATGTCAGATTGTTGATATGGTAGAGGGCGACTTCATCAGTTCAGTTCAGTTCAGTTCCCTTCTCAGCATTCTGCTATCATCTAATACGATAGAGTGGGGATGTTTCTGAACCTAAAGGTTTCTCAACCCTGATTAACACTTCCTAGCGCTCTTTATGTACAGATTTGCAAATGGTTGAGATCAGCGTGGATGAATGTACAACAAAAACTGACCCACCAATGCAGTGTATGTGAAGAATATATATAAAGGACCCGGATGGATGTAAATAGAATGTTTTGATTCAACCTGTGGCTGACATGGATGCCGAAGCATTGAACGACAGCGTTCCAGGATGATCCTTATCGGCATCTAAATTGCTGCTACCAAGATCAATGACATTGCTACTATTCTCAACCCTGTGTTCACGTTCCCCTCCAGGTTCTAATGGATCGCTTGATGAACTAACAGCACCACCAGAGTTCGACCTTTGCTGCTCAAGGAATCTATCCCCAGTATCTTGAAGCACTTTCATCATGCTTCCAGAATCAGAACCTGGTGATAGCTCTTCCTCTCGCTCAGGCTGCATATTCAAATCGATTTGGCCTTTAAAAGGAGAAGTGGATGGCTTGTTCCTGTTAGGATCCTCATCAGAACCATCAGTAATTTTCCCTTCCACAATCAACTTGCTTGGACCTGTGTTACTGAAAGTAAGAGATTCATCGTCCATTGATCTATCAAGAAACATTTCATCCTGAAATTGATGCCTTTGGCGCGTAGTTTCTGCTTCCTTTTCAGATTGCTTTTTTTCACGTCGAAGCATTAATGTTCGAAAACGGCGCTTTACTGTCAAACACACATTACAGGTACATGTCTGCTTATGTTTTGGTCCCTTCCCACTTGGAGGTTGAATGCATACTATGCATGAGCATCCAGGTCTATGGCGAGGGTGCTTTGTAGTGGCCTGGCCAGGTGCCTGGCTTGCCTCACCCTCTTCTAAGATGGCTAAATTTGCAAGTGTGTCAAGTCCCTCCAGAGCTTCAACATTATCTGGTTCTAGTTTAGCAGTCTTCATTTTCTGAACAGCAGCTATAAATAGCAAACAACAGATTAGGAACACTGAATATGAAGCAAAAATATTAATAACAGAAACGGACAAAAAGAAAAGAACCATCTAATCGAATCAGTTGGAATTCATTTATGCATGAAGATACGGTCAAACAATGTAATAGTTTTTGTTTTGAACAATTCTCACCTGAATTACTGGGCGACAGTAGCTCTTCCAGCTTCTCTGTTGACAACTCTTGAGCTGCGGAGCAA